TTCCTATGCTCTATTCACAAACCTTAAAACAATTAATTGGAATTTCAGCCTAGAAACTCACCCCTTGCTTAACAGAATTGAAAACACCAACCAAACTGCTCTATCCAAAGCAACAAAAGACCACCTGCAAAATATCAAAAGAAAACATGGTTTAAAAAAAGAAGAAGAAAAAGGAAGAAAAAAACAGAAAAATCGGAGATGAAATTAGTTTGAGTATTTTATACATGCACAATCTTTTCATTAAACCAAAAAAATTAGCTACAGCAAAATCTGTACGGAAAGAAACCACTCTGTACAAATCCCCTCATTCAACAATGCTCTCATAATTCAATTACAAAGCATATGCTCTGATGTAAATTGTATTATAAATTACAGGTGCTTTAGACAGAGGAAGTGCAAAACCTAAGAAGGATCTAAAATGATCTACTTCTCAAAAGATTTACAAACATATGCACTTATATAGATATCCAAAATGACAAATTGAAGGAGCTTTAACATCAAATTAATTATATATATATATATTCTGACTCATGAAAACACCCACTTTAGTTTGCTTGGGTTAAGTAGTGTATATAATTTTTGGTTCATTTCAGAGAAATATTTACTGCAAAGCATTTGAAACAGAGCAAATATAGTCCAAAAAGTCTGAGGTTGACAATTCTCTCATTCAATATACAAAAGTTTCTCTCCTTTTTTTTTCTTTTTTTTTCTTTGTTCTGTTTTTTCCAGTTCCCTTGAGAATGCCTTTACCAGTCAAAATTTCAAAATGTAACAATAGAAACCCAATCACAGCTGCCTTCCCATTTATCAACAAATTTCCCAACCGAGATCTCTCTCGTTACAAATTTGGTTCAGCAAAAGCCAAGACAGGCAGAGTTTGAGTTTTTCCCAAACATGAAAACCTCAACAAATTTCCCAACCGAGATCTCTCTCGTTACAAATTTGGTTCAGCAAAAGCCAAGACAGGCAGAGTTTGTGCGCATAAACTACTTCTAAAGGAGAGGCCAAGTGAAAGAAGAAACATAACATTCAACAAATAAGTACAAAGTCTTACTTGCAAAGACCTCTTCATGACATTAAACACACATATGTATGACAAACTCGTAGTTGAACATCAAAATATATATATCAGAGTACTGTTGAACTGATCTTTGGTGAAACAATTCATCGGAAAACAATCAAGATAAGTACAAACAGAAAGAAATAAAAAAATAAAAAAATCAGCCACACAGAAAATCTATAACCACACGCAAACAGAAAATCTATAACATCTATTAGAATTATAATTCTGATCTGGAGTCATAAAAATAAAAAATAAATTTTTTTTTTTTAAAGGAGTCTATAACCACACGCAAACAGAATGTAGTTGAACATCAAAATATACATATCAGAGTACTGTTGAACCGATCTTTGCTGAAACAATTCATCGGAAAACAATCAAGATAAGTACAAACAGAAAGAAATAAAAAATAAAAAAATCAGCCACACAAAAAATCTATAACCACACGCAAACAGAAAATCTATAACATCTATTAGAATTATAATTCTGATCTGGAGTCATAAAAATAAAAAATAATTTTTTTTTTATAAAAAGGAGTCTATAACCACACGCAAACAGAATATCAGCCACGCAGACATCAATTACCAGATTGATGAGCTGACTGGGGGTTCTCATATTGATTACTCCAGTTCTTTTTCCTTAGATCTTCCTCCCTGTAAAAACAAACCAAACACAATTTCTGATTTACTTCTCAATTTTTCGACATGACAAATGAATAAACCAACCTAGAAAACCAGAAATCCTTTGAGCTAAACCCGTGCGATGAGAAGAAGGATGAAGCGCTTCTGGAACAGCAACACACGAACACAACATCTGAGAGGAGAACCGATAAGATAAAGACCAAAAGGGCGGCTGGATTTGCAGCGCGCCTCCCCAAACGAAAATCGACGGCCTCCCACGCATGCAGAACAGTGATCTCTGATCTTCCATGGCTGCCCCCAACCAGCCCAACCAACTGGTTCAAAACGGACTGGAAAGCTAAGAGCAAACGAAACGTTCGAATCGAAAGAGAAGCGAATGGGAAGGGGCAAAAAGGGAACATAAGGAAAAATTCAGTAAAGGGCAAAACCGTCACTTCACTATTGTGAATGAACAGTCTAGGAACAGTGAATTCGTGGATTCAGTTTTAGTATATATATAATTTGGTCCTACTCTGGTGATTCTTGCTTCATTGGTGTAGAGGTCGAGATTGACGACACCGTTAACACATGCTCGATTGTGGAAATTGTAGGGTATCGTAGTCGGAAAAAGGATGTTGAAAATGTCTCATACAGTAATAACACATGCTTCGTACAAGCTTCTGCATGTAATAACCTGCTTTGAATAAAGAATTTATTTATGAAGAAGCAGAATATCATCTCCTAGCATATATTGTTCTTCTCATTATAGGTTTTCATACCATATTCACCTTCCCAATTTATTTAATTTACTCCAACATCTTATATTAGCCAAAAAAAAATACGTAAAAACCATCAAGTTTCATCACTTTTATCTCCTCAATTGAGGATCCCCATAATAATGTAGCCTCTGTTCACAAACATATATATGTCTAATTGGTTGCCTTCAGTGTACATGCTAGGCTATAGTTTCAATTCAATTATAGATTGTTGAGTGCTCGAATAATGTGATTGAACTAAAAGCATGACTTTTGATGAAAAGAATATGTATGACAATAGTTTTCACGACTAATGTATGACAAGAATATGTTGAATCGTTTCTCAAGCATACTCATAGAGAAAGGGACTCTGGGAGATCATTGACTACTTGTTCTGTGTTCGCTAGATGATCATTGATCTAGTTAGGGTTGCGGAGCCCAGGCTATTTCTGTTTTTAAGCTTTGGGCCCAAAATCCACCCCCAAAAAGAAGAGTGTTTTAAAACCTTAGCCCACTGAAAAAACAGAGATTGACCTTAGCATTGAGGCCCTCTATAACCAAAACAAGAAACAGAAAATATAAGCGATATTGGGGGAGGAGAGGAATCGAACCTAGGGCCTCAGGACCTTGGGTGCGTGACTAAAACAATTCTATAGTTCTATAACGATTAATTTGTGAATGATTTATGGAATTACATTTTCAAAATAAAACGGAATTCAACTTTTACATTACAAGTTGTTTGTTTCAAATCAAAGTTACTGGTGGGGCTAGCCTAAAATATCTTTAACAGAATCATTTTAAAAGTTTAAAACAATGGACCCAATTCTTTACTTCACACTGGATGCCAAAATCTTCCGAAGATACTTCATTCTTATCTTTCATTCATATGGATATGATTACCACAATGAAAAATAAAAATAATAAAAGTATGATCCTCATTTACAGGCAAAATTCTATTATTGTAAAAGTAAGGTATAATAAAATAATTGCACTGCATGGGATCCTCTGCAGATCATCATAATCATACACATTCTAGAAGGATTCTCTGAGCCCACTTCACAAAAGGAGGAGATGAATCACTCCAACAGACAAAAGCCATCTCACCCCCACCACCTCCATAAGTCCAAAGAACCTTCTTCCTTCCTTGGCTTCTTCTCTTTTCCCAAACTGTCTTCTTCTACCCCCCACCTATGAAAATGTCTTCTTCCATTAGGAATTAGGTCAACTTCTGGCTGTACCGCACTCTAGCTGCCTACTAGCTCCCCAACAATGACATTTTTTTTTGTCACCTTCCCAACTATCATCTCTGGCCACGTGTACAATGCAGGCCCAGTGCAGCATTCAGATTCCTATCGTCTTCTCACTAACCAGAATATTTCTTCTGCTAGTGCTTCCTTACTTTATAATAATTTATATGGCTAAGTACTAAATACATAATATTCTGTATAAATACATATTTATATACTTGATTTTTTTTTCCTTTCTTTTTCTACCCAAGACTGTACAGAAACCCTTTTCTTATTTATCAATCTAAGATTATTTCAAAAATTTCTTACTCTGCAGGCGAAGGAAGGTGTGTTAGCTAGGGGTGGATTTGAATGGAGAAGCTATAGAAAGGGGTAGCTATATATGTATGTATTCCCAGAGTGCTTTAAAAGTGCTCCTTGTGGAATTCAAACTTGGTTGAACCTTTTTGATTGAACTCATAGCAGAGCTGGCTAAGTTCTTTGGCCAAAACTGGTGCTCCACAATAGAAAACACCTGTTCCAATATTTCAACACAAGTATCAGTATTCACAGAAAGCAAACTCTGCATAATTATATATATCTCTGTGTGTGTGTGTGTGTGTGTGTGTGTGTCGATATAGCTCTAGCACATTGACTTACCAATCCTTGCATTACAGTGCTTTGAGCAAGTTTTTGAGAAAACTTTCTTCCAATTAGGCCTTGCAAAATGGGTTCTTACCTATTTATAAGAATCAGGAATATATAATCAGCAAAAGTACAATGGACCATTTTTCCACTCAGTTTTTGTGACTTTTTTCTGCAGTTTCAGTGCTACAAAATTATGCCAGAGATCAAAACTCTTACCCTTGTGCCAGACACAATGTCGACCCCATTCTTAGCATGGTTGAGAGCTTGGACCATGGTGATGAGTGTTGATCGAGCGTCGCCTTCCTCGTACACACTAGTCAAGTAGTTGTGCATCTCAATGACACCCTGAAATTAAATCAAAAGTCATGACAAAGTTAGCTTTAATCAAACTCATGTTCAACCATAAACGTATGTGCGTCCACAGAACATGTCCAGTTACCCTTTGATCCTGTTCTGCAACTTCATTCATCACTCCTTTGAACCAATCAAATGAGCCTTGCTCCCTCGTCACCCAATAAAAGTAGGCATTGGTGGTCTTCAGAGTCTTTTTCCGTCTCGGATAAACCTTGTTTGGATTCGGAGAATCTGTACTCCCAGCACTTAGGTCTGATGCTCTACTCATATCTGAAATAGAGTCCTGAAGAGGAAAAAAAGCAGAATTGTGAGTTTGCAAATTCCAGTCATTCAAAGGACTTGGTGATATAATAAAAGATTGGATATTGAACAAGCTATGTATACTTACTGCCTGCTCTTCCATTTTGACAATATTGTTGAGCAAATCCTTTAGAATACTGATGAAAGGCGTTGCGCCGATTCCAAGACCAACAAGTAGCAGGACATCATATTTCCGGTAATCTTGTGCTGGGGCACCATAAGGTCCATCTATTAAAAGCTTGGGCAAACTGTTGTACAAAGAACTTATATTTAGATATTATACTACAAATGTGACCAAAATAAGGACGAAATCTGAAACGATGGAAATACTAATTAGCATGATGATAAACACCTTGTCTTGGTTGTTTCATCAGCCCTTAGCAGGCCGCTCGTCCCGGCTAAGGGAGGCTCACAGGCTTCTGAGAAAACCCTCTTAAGCTCTTGTGTCCAGTCACCAAGCTGGCGGATGTGAACGCTAAGGTAGTCATCACCGGGAGCTGATGTAATCGAAAATGGATGCCTGACATACATAAAAATAACACATCAACATATTGAATTGAGAAACCAGGCACAATGTCGATATAGAATTGACACGATTTTATTGGAATTGAATGCCTCATAAGAAGAGTAGTATTATTCAATAAATGGTGACCTACCACTCAAAGGGAGAAACAGCTGGGCACTGGACAAACATGTACTGTCCACTTTTGTATTTGAACTGGGGAGGCTTAGACATTTGCAATGTGAGAACATTTCCAGGATAAATAGCAACCTATACAGAGCAGGTTCATAATTAATATATGATCATATAATTCAGAAGAAAAAATGTAATTTACTAGCAAAGAAGTAGCAGTATATGCTAGTTTTTTAACTAACAAAATTGCACTTATGCTCACCTTCAGAAGTCGAACAGTATAGAAGCCAGACCGGAAGATTCTCAGGGTCCTTTCTCCAGCATATAGTAAAATAGGAACAGAAATATACATCCAAGTCTGAAACATGAAGATAACTCTCTTAGTTAATCAATTTAAACATAATGACTACAATATTTGAAGACAGAGGATCTCAAATTATACCGTCTTAAGGTACCATGTGTGCACCATATAGAGGAAAACGCCGTGGATAATGAGCAAGGCGTAGACAATGACAAATAAGTGATGGGAATACCAGAATGCATTGAAGCCAGTGAGCCTGTTAAAGGGCTTGGGAAGCTTAAAAATGCTGCGCCTGAACCATCGTGTAGCGAGTGTGAAAGCAATTACCATGCATGTCAGCATTATAATTCCAGTCACGCCCTCAGCTCCTTTGATCAAATCTATATATTTGGGTTTATGTTTTCCAAAGTCTTGAACCAAATACTTGTCGTAGTCAGCTTTGGAGACCTCTATAAGCCTTGGAAAATCACAGGCAAGATGGTTCCCAGCATGGAGAATGACACCAACTACAATGGCTGCAGCAATGGTCTGCAAAGATTTATCAAAGTAAAGCACAATTTAGAGGGATGACACGTATGTTCAGGCGTTCGATCGAGTTAGAAATGAGCTTAATTAGATGGTGATTGACAGAATTGATTCAATTCAGGACCTCTACAAAATCAAGTACTCTGTCATTGTGCTGCTAAACAGTCTCACTTTGATGTGTCATGAACTCATGTGATGGTACTTGAAGAGTCTTTTAGCCAAAACCTTTATACATAAAGACATTTCTATGTCACATTTAAAATCAAGACACCAGACATAGCAGTGAGCCACAATGCAAGGATGATTTTATTTTTTATACTTTTTTAAAAGTACCCAAGTTAAAATTATTGCCCAAAAAAGAAAAAAATCAGCACTCATGGCTATGTATAAGTCCAAAATTGACCAAATTATTCCATTGATTATTTGATTCAATGGTTGAAACTTAAAATCAAATTGGCATATAAATAAATAGAAACTAAATTGAATAGTTCACTCAGATTCAAGTCTATACATAGTTTAACCTTTAATCTTAAGAACGCATGTGCTGTTTCATTATTTGTCAAACCTAGGATAGCAACAGCAACAAAATTAGATTTCAGTGA